CTCCTCTACATGGTATCAAGAGCTCCTGTTTTTTTTCTTTCCCGGGAAAACTTCCATGGCTTCCGCAACTACCAAGCAGTTCATCCCACAAACTTTTTCAAATCCCATCTCGTCCAAACTCAGTGAGGACAATTTTCTCACATGGAGGCAACAAGCCGAATCCACCATAAGAGGGTATCGTCTAAAGAAACACATTCTTGGAGCCATGCATGTTCCAGCCCAACACAAGACAGACGAGGATAAAGCCAAAGGAGTTCTCAGTCCAGAATATGAAGATTACGATCAACAAGATAATCTCCTCAAATCTTGGTTACTGGAGAGTATGGAACCGCAATTTAAGGTAAGGATGGTTGGATATGAGTGGTGCCACCAGATTTGGAATAACCTAGAAATATACTTTGCCTCGCAAACCAAAGCCCGTGTGAAACAACTCAAGATTCAATTAAGAGGAATCAAGAAAACCACAGCCATAAATCAGTACCTTCTTGAAATCAAGAAGATTGTCAACAATCTTGCAGCAATTGGGTCACCTCTGAATACGGCTGAACACATAGATGCTATCTTTGATGGGTTATCAGAAGAGTATGACCCCTTTATCACCTCTGTTCTTACAAGAACCGAAGAATACTCTGTTGAGCAAATAGAATCTCTACTGATGGCGCAAGAAGAACGACTGGAAAAACACAAAGCAAGTGAAAGTGTTCCTCTTCAAGCCAATTTGGCTCAAGGCAGTTTCAACTCAAGAAAACAATTTACCAATCAAGGAAGAGGTTCCAATAATAATGGCACTCATGGAAGAGGTCCTCACAGGGGCAGGGGTCGTGGCAGATCAGCCCAGCATTTCGGCAGAGGAAATAAGCAACCGTGTCAAGTCTGTGGCAAGATTGGCCATATAGCCTTTCACTGCTGGCACAGGTATGATCAACAATATACTGAACCCAATTTAAATCATAATACTAATGTCTACAACCCAGGAAACCAGCAACAGATGCAAGCCATGATTGCGGGTTCACAAAATATGGTATATGATGATCAGTGGTATCCAGATTCAGGTGCCACAAATCATCTTACATCAGATTTGAATAATCTTGGTTCCAAAACTGATTACACGGGACAAGACAAGATTCACATGGGAAATGGTCAAGCCATCGGAATAAATCATACAGGTACATCATTCTTTCATACTCCTATGTCTTCTAAAATATTTACTTTAAAAGAACTCCTACATGTTCCTCACATTACCAAAAATCTGCTAAGTGTATCAAAATTTTGCAAAGATAATAACGTATATGTTGAATTCCACACCAATTATTGTCTTGTTAAATCTCAGGACTCGAAGGAAACTCTTCTACGAGGGAATCTTAAAAATGGCCTATATGTCTTTGATGAAGTGCAAATTCTGAAACCTGATGTATATGAACATACTGTTGACTCTATTCCCACTAACCGTACCACTCTATATGTACAAAGGACTAGGAAATCCTATGATGTATGGCACAATAGACTTGCTCACGCCTCTAGGAAAATAGTACAAGCTGTTATGAAAACCTGTAATGTTCCAATGCCTATTAATCATCAAGACTCTATTGTTTGTAAATCCTGTTGTATTGGGAAATCACATACACTTCCGTTTTCTGATTCATATACTGTGTATAATTCTCCTCTTGAACTTGTCTACAGTGATGTTTGGGGACCTTCTCATTATGCATCTAGAGAGGGGTTTCGATATTATGTTCATTTTACTGATGCATTTTCAAAGTATACCTGGATTTATTTTATGCATAATAAATCTGAAACTGCACATCATTTCATTCATTTTAAATCTCTGGTTGAAAACCAATTTGGACACAAGATTAAAATGTTCCAATCTGATGGAGGAAAAGAGTTTACCTGTCTAACAAAGCTTTTCAATGAAAATGGCATAACACATCGTCTCAGTTGTCCTCATAGTCACCAACAAAATGGGACAGCAGAAAGGAAACACAGACATATCACAGAGGTAGGCTTAACTTTGCTATCTTCCTCTGGTTTTCGACATATTTTTTGGTCTGATGCTTTTAGCACGGCTATTCATGTTATAAATAGACTTCCAACACCTATTCTTGGACACAAATCTCCATATGAAGTGTTGTTTAATAAAATACCAGACTATCTTCTCTTAAGACCTTTTGGTTGTGCGTGTTATCCCCACTTAAGACCTTTCAACAGTCATAAAATGGATTTTAGATCATCTCAATGTGTTTTTATTGGGTATAGCATGCAACACAAAGGTTATAAATGTTTTACAACAAATGGCAAAATCATCATTTCCAGGAATGTGGTTTTTGATGAAGACACATTTCCTGGTCCATCCTATTTCAACACTAACAATGTTGCAGGTCTGTCATCGTCTCACTCACCACAACCTGTGCCAAGTATACACGTTTTGCCATCTCAGTCTCTAGCACCCAATTCAGCTACCACTGTTCCATTAGTCTCTTCCATTGATGAGTCTCTTCAAGATTCTCAACTCACTTCCACCACTGATACCTCCCAAGATAATCTGATCACATCTTCCTCTCAGCCGAACCCACAACCAATTATTACAACCGTCCCAGATCCAGCATCACCTGCAACACGCACAACAAATCAACATCCTATGATCACTAGAGCCAAAATTGGTGTTTTCAAACCTAAGGCTTTTCTTGCTACATCTGAACCAATTAGTGTTGTACAAGCTCTTGACAACAAGCACTGGAAACAAGCCATGCAAGATGAGTACAATGCCTTACTCAAAAACCATACATGGGATTTAGTCTCCTTACCACCAGGACGAACAGCAATAACTTGCAAATGGATATTCAAAAATAAGTACAAACAAGACGGTTCGATCCTTCGACACAAAGCTCGACTAGTAGCTCGAGGTTTCAGCCAACAACAAGGACTCGATTACACAGACACCTTTAGTCCTGTCGTCAAACCTGTCAGCATTAGAATTGTTCTTGCTCTAGCAGTTTCAAAAGGCTGGCCAATTCATCAAATAGATGTGGACAATGCGTTTTTAAATGGTGATCTCAAAGAAGACATCTACATGCTTCAGCCACAGGGGTTTCATAATGGCGCTCCAAACACAGTTTGCAAACTACGGAAAGCTCTATACGGCCTCAAACAAGCTCCAAGAGCTTGGTTTCAAAAACTCACTCTAATTCTCCTTCAACTCGGTTTTAAACAGGCCAGATCAGATTCTTCTCTTTTCACTTTTACATCTAAAGTTACCTCTATATACATTCTCATATATGTTGATGATATTATTATAACTAGCAACTCCCCTGCAGCTATACAAACTCTGATTTCTACTCTTCATAGATTCTTTCCTCTCAAAGATCTTGGCAGTCTTCATTATTTCCTTGGAATCGAAGTCAATTCTGATGGTGCAGGTGGCATTCACCTCTCTCAAACCAAGTATCTTAAAGATATTCTTGACAAACTCAACATGTCAAATGCGAAGCCTGTCAAAACTCCCATGGCACCTTCCCTCAAGCTCACAAATGATGGGACAGCAGTGTGCCCGGATCCAAGTCTCTATAGGTCAGTCATTGGTGCCCTGCAATACCTAACCATCACCAGACCTGACATAGCTTATACAGTAAATAAGCTGTGTCAGTTTATGCATCACCCCCTTGAAAGCCACTGGAAAGCAGTAAAGCGACTACTCAGATATCTCCAAGGCACTCTACAACATGGATTACACTACAAGAAGTCAACCGATACTGGAATACATGCATACTGTGACTCAGATTGGGCGAGTGACCATGAAGACATGCGATCAACATCAGGGAACTGTGTGTATCTAGGGCCTAATATAGTGTCTTGGATGGCAAAGAAACAAAGGGTTGTCTCTAGGTCCAGCACCGAGGCAGAATTTAGGAGTCTCGCAAGTCTGGTCACAGAGGTTCAATACATTCAGAATCTGCTTTCAGAACTTCACATTAGCAGCACCCAGCCACCTCTCATATGGTGCGACAATCAAGGAGCAGTTCTCTTATCTGCCAATCCAGTATTACATACTAAAACAAAACATTTTGAGTTGGATTTATGGTTTGTTAGAGAAAGAGTGGCTCGGGGACAAATTCAAGTCAAGCATATCCCAGCACGGTTTCAAGTCGCAGATTTATTGACTAAGGCTCCAAGTTCATCTATCTTCTTAGCCTTAAGACACAAACTCACTGTAGATAAACAATCCACACTAAGTTTGAAGGGGGATAAAAAGGATATTCTCTAGTTATCTCTACCCTTCTCCGTTTGTATATAAATACTCCTGTATTATGTCACTCTCAATAGAGATATTCACATTCAGTCTTACATCCAGATTCAATACAATTTCCTTCTCCCAATTGCTCCTCTACACCCCCATTTTGGCAAGTGCATCAGCACAATTGTTTCCTCTGTGCAACAAATGGTGGATCGAGTATGACCAATCCTAGTTGAGTAGCCTTCTTATAAGTATGACCTCATTCACATAAAAGGTGATAAGAGGTAAGACCTAAGCACACCAAACCAACCACAAATAGAGAATTCGAGTAACAAATCAAAGTACGATAACTAAATTGCCAGCATAATTGAAGACCTTTCAACAAAAAAAGAATCTTTGCTTGAAGAATGGAGGTGTGGCCTGCATTACCATAAAAGCACATGAGAAAATAACCACAATAGCCTCTACTAGAGCTGTCAAAGTGGGTTCAGCCTGGTGAGTCAACTTGGCTCACCACGAGTTCAAGCCGGGTTGGGTTGAAAAAGAAATTGAAAATTTTAGTATGAGCCAATTTTGAACTTGACTCACTAACAACCCGGCTCACCCGGGTTGAACCCGTGGTGAGTCGGGCTCACTCATCAACTCGTAATAAAAAAAAAGCAATAGTTATTAGGCCAATGTGTACGTGTAGATGCAACCCAATAGGGTTTCAATTTCAAGTTTTCAACTTCGGAAATCAGAATAATTAATTTCAATGCCTCCGCATCATACTGCATAATTGCCACCGCATTACACCATAGCTGCCACCGCACCACAACTACCAAGCACCACCGCGCACGCATTGTGAGCCACCGCACGCATCACGAGCCACCACACGCACAACGAGCAACTATTAAAAAAAAAAGAAAATAAAAAATTACATTTTTTTTAATTAGGCGAGCCAACCCGTTTAACCCACCAACCTGTGGTGGGCTAGGCCGGCCAGGTTACTCGTTTTGACAGTTCTAGCCTTTACAAACACCATCAAATCCAACGTGTCCAGCACCATCAAGGTTGACATCTACATTTAAGGCGATATTCCAAAGATGCAATCCAATTCACTAAACGGGAGCTTGTACGAGAATTTGTCAAATTCTTAAAAGCTATAAGTACATAATGCGTTTGAGGAGATATCTTTTCACACAACACATGGGTGGGAGTAATATGTTGGGTGAACACCATAACATTTTTATCACACCAGATAGCTCATAACACTGTCAAAACTAACACAACATGAATTTGAACTAACTATATTTAATATAATATTTTCATTAATTGAGACACTAATAGATAAATTTTATACAATAGTATTTAATAGATTTTTTTAACAAAATTTGAGTATAAAAATTATAAATTTTTTTGAAATTGCTGAAAGTTTAATTATAAATTTGAAAGATTAAAAATAAATTTATATTAAATTTAAAATACTAAAAACATGAAAATATATATAACTCAGTTATTTTCTATTATTAATCTTAATAGTAATATATAGGTACCGGAAATCAAGGAGGGGAGTTCATAAATTCTCATGTTTTTTTTTTGTTATTTTAATACTGGGCTATGCCTATTATTTCCGTGACGGACGTTATTGATTCGTGACGGTGACGGCGTCGGCGGCTGTCAAATTTCTCTCTCTATCTCTCGCGTGGTTTTTCTCTCTCTAGAATCTTTTTGTGGCCTCTGAGAGACCCTTTGGGAATCCATAAAACCCTAAATTTTGTTCTTCCTCTCTTCGCAATCTCCACACAGCAGATTTATGGATAACAGGTGCAAATTTGGTTCACTGCAACACTCTTCCGCCGCTGAATTCTTCAACCGACAAGTCTTTGGTTTCGTGGCTCTGTCGCTTTTTCAACCCTTCGATAGATTCATTCCTTGGCTGCGCTTTCTGGCTCCCAAATAACATTCAAGCTACCTTCTTTCTCCTATTAGTTTCTTCTGAAAGGCAAAAAAACGGTTAGTTTTCATCAGGGGTTCTCCTTCTTTCTGTTCAAGTTTTCATTTTTTTTCTTCTGTTTTTATATTTAGTTCCAGGTTTGTTGGGAATAGTGTATGGTGGTTTTGTGTTGTTTTGAAATTATTATGCATAGTTTTTGTGCTGCGCTTTCTTCGAAATCTTTATTGGACTATTTAATGGTGTTTTATTTGAATAAGGGCGCGTTTGGATAAATAACTTAGTTGAACGATTATTCTATGTTTTTATCATGTAAGCACTTATACATAAGTTGTTTTTATTATTAAAGAAGAATTTTTATGAGTTGTAACTTTTTTTCAAGCTGTCTTAAATAGCTTATTGAAATAAGTAGAAAACAGTTTATGGACGTATCATGAGCTGGTTTCATAAGCTCTACCAAATACTTATACAAATATTTGTTTCATAAGATAGTTTAAATAAATTGCAAGCAAACTTTTCCAAACGGTCCTGAAAATTCTGCTAGTTTAAAAATTATGTCTTACAGTGCATAGATCAACTGCCATAAAATTGTTTTAGTTCAATAGTTTTGAATTCGAGTCTGGAGTATGCTACTATGTTAAATACTTGAAGACAGTAATTTGTGGCATATAATAATTTTACTTGGCTCAAACATAATTACTTCATGCGGAATATACCTGTGGTCTCTAGAAAAAGAAAACTGTTGTGATATCAAATGTTTGATCATATCATGTTTTCATCAATGTATTATACTGTGATTCTCTAACACACTGGTGCGTTGTATGGTGCTCTTAGTGCTTACAGTTATTGACTTGGACCTTTTGCAAGCAACATCTCCAGATATAGGATTTCTGGGTTCTTCCACATCTGCATAAGTCTTCAGAGAGAGAGATTGCAAAGTGATTTGAGACCAGATTATGGTGTAAGGACCAAGATGAGCATTTCAGCACGGTCTTCCCTTAAGAAGATGTCGCGGGCTAAGGGTCAATCCTCTGGTTGGACAGCTTTTGATCTCAAGCAGAGAAAGAACAATTATCTTGAATCTGAAGTTGAGAAGGACCCTTTCCCAGCTATAGGCACTTTTGATCCTATAGTCAAGAAGAAGCATGTTCCTGCAAAGCCTTTCTCTTCAGTACTTCTCCCAACTAAAAATTTCCCCCCTTTGAAAGCGAGTGGGAATAGCATAAACACAAAGCTAGTTTCTGATTTTGATGGAAAATATCGTGGGGCCACTGCTCAGGAAGATGTTAATTTAGCTATTAAAAAGCTCAAAGAGCAGCATATTTGGGCTGAAAATAGCTTGATAGATGATATCTTGGATGCTGTTAATAACAATATTGATAAGGCCTCAGCTTTATTGAAAACAATGGCCTCTACTGTGAATTTTGAAGAATGCATAGTATCAAGTGATCCTAGATCAACTACTTCAGATGATACTCCTTGTAAGGACAAGACTGATGAAAGTCTTACTTTAGAAAAGGTTGAGGATGACATTTTCTTCCATTCTAATCTTGCTGATCATTTCCAAGACAATGATAAAGACTTGGAGGATAAAAATGCTTCCTCAGGTCATAAGCTTTCTGATGTTGATAACTTGAGATGCAAAATGAATCTCTTGAATTCTGTTCCTGTAGAGCCTGAATGGGAGGATGATGATATTTACATTAGTCATCGAAAGGATGCATTGAAGACAATGCGGTACGAATGCTAACATAAGTTATTTCTGGAAAAGGCATTAGTTATTTCTTGCTTTTATGTGTTTGTTTTGAATATCAGCTTTCTTTTGTCATGTAATACATACATGTATTTAGCATGTGTGTATGTGCTTGTATGTATGTATGCATGCACGCACATATTTTTTCTTTTGTTGTCTATTCTTATATAAGATGACATGGTGAAACATATCCAGTGAAGATGGGATCTACATGCAGTGAAACATATTGATCAATGCTTGACTTAGTTTGACCTTATCAAGAAGTCTCCAAATCAAACTGATTGTAATTTAGTTGATAACTTGAACAAGTTCTTGAATGGTTATCTGCTATACCTATAATGTCTTAGGTCTCAAAACTACTTGCAATGTGCTTGGAGAAAATATTGTATTAACCTTAATCAATTACAATAAAAACAGCATTAAGTAATGAATTTACTTCATTGGTGGTTCCTTCTGTTTTCATTTATGTCAGAGTAAATAGTAATATGGTCTTATATTTGCAATAACTTCTAGAGAAATTTTTCTAGCCTATTATGATTTTATGTGATAGCATTTCCAGTTTTGCACATTCTTTTAGTTTTGAAGGGTCTATTTAATCCATGCTATCCTATATTTCCTCTTCCAGATTTTTCATTTGTAGGACATCTCTGCTTATATGTTACCAATGAATAATGACTTTCAATCATAGGGATTTCATCCTTGACCATAATTAGAGATGAAAAATTTTACGTTGGTTATTTTATTAAAAAGATACATTTCTGTATTTAGATAGCCACACTGAATTGAGACTTCATACCTTTCTAATTAAACAGGTCAGCATCGAGACATTCTAGGGCAGCTTCTAGTGCTTTTCTAAGAGGTGATCATTTTTCTGCTCAAAATCATTCAACGAAAGCTCGGGCAGAATGGTATACTGCTGAAGAACTTAATTCTGATGCAGCCAAAAAAATTTTGAGTATCAGGAATAATGAAAATGATATCTGGAGACTTGATTTGCATGGTCTTCATGCTACAGAAGCTATTCAAGCATTGCAAGAACATCTCTACAGAATTGAAAGCCAACGTTTGTCAAAGAGTTCAGCCACATCAAATGGCGTGAAGGAAAATGGGCTTGGACATTCTACTCTTGGATCTCTCAATTTCATGGACAGGGAAAAATTGAATATACAAACACCATTAAGGCTTAGATCATTAGCTTTACATGTCATAACAGGTATCTTGGCTTCTTTTTGATCACGGGTAACATATAAAGTCAATGTTTATACTTGTATAGGCTAGGAGCACCGACACACCTAGCAATGGAGGTGTTGGGGTGTCCAACACACCTCCGACGCTGACACACTGCAGACATGCCATGGACATGCGTCAAACACATTTTTGTGGTGTCTTTTGATTTTTCTTCTTCTTGTTTTTCCGGCTTTGACCCGGCTCGGCCACACCTTAAATGGCTGGGCATAGTTATAGACACGGTTACCTTTTTCTTTATCAATCTTTTTAAAATTAAAAACAGAATCGTAATTAGTAAATTTCCTATTTTCCTTCTTTAAGTATTTTCTGGGACTCTATATTAAAGATCTTAGCAAGTTGTTTGTTAATTGTTTTTATTAAAGTGGCAAAGTGCTAGTATTATGGAATTTTCTTTTCAATGATAATGATGCCTCTTATATATATACATATATATTTGTGTGTATCTCTCTCTCTCTCTCTCTCTCTCTCTATATATATATATATATATATATATATATGCTGTGCCCCCATGTCCTATGTTTTAGACTTTAGCTGTGTCAAGGTGCTTGTGTTCGTGTTGTGTCCCATGTGAGTGTCGGAGTTGGTGCTTCATAGTGTATAAGGAATTATGCCTCTGGAGAAGTTTTTTTTTATTGCATATGCATAGGCTAATGTGAACTTCAACCAACATGGTAGCATTTAATTTTCTTTATGCTTAGATCTTCTATACTGTTTATTCTCTTTCAACAGTTCTCTTGTCAAATTTTCATGTCTATTGCCATCATCTACTGCCTATTTGCATCAAGTATCCAGCAATAATTTTGCATCTGCTCCTGAAAGATGGGTAGAGAGAGAACTTCAATCTCTTGCTTTGTGTAGAATGCATAAAGTGAAATTTCTTAGAAGTAGCTATGTTATGATTTAAGAGACTTACATAATATAGCTTGCTGTCTGGTAACTGGACATAAAATTACATTTTGTTGGTGTCAGTTAGTTGTCATTTTATCGAAGCAAACATTCTTGAAAATCTGAATAACCCTTCCCTTAATCATATAAACAAACATTCATTCATTGTTTTAGTTCCCTTTTTGCTCATTGTTGGTCAGCCATTTATTTTCGCATACTTGACTACTTGGTAATTCTCTTGCGAGTTGTTGATAAATTTGGAAGATATGTCATATTCTCCAAGTGATCACCTTTACTTCTACATGTTTTTTATCTGTTAAGATTAGTAATTTCTTTCTTCTTTTCTTTTAAATTAATCATGGGAGTTTAACATTTTCTAAAGGTTAAAATACCAATCATCATGTTTTGCGTGCAATTAGGTCAAGATGGAGTCTATATAGGTATGGAAAATCCAGCCTAGCCCATCTTATTGTCACTATGAGTCATGACTTCATTCTGCTGATCATTCTCTTGTACTAATTGTTTTTTTTGGGAAAATTATAGAAAAAAATATATTTTATCCAAATTACTTCTCCTTTGGTATTCTTTTCCAACTTTTTCTCCAAATCTCCAGTTATGATACTTTTTGCTTCACTAGCTACTGGTTCCTTCTTTCCCTTGGCACACCATTGAATGAGCTTTGTTATTTGTTGAAAGATTATCAATTTTCTTGAATACAAAATTTGGATTTTAATTATTCATTTAGCAAACATGTGTCCATGCATGGTTTCAACGATCAGCGGTGGCCCTAATTGTGTTTTTATTTATACAGGCGTTGGTAATCACAGTCGGGGACAAGCCGCCCTTCCTACAGCTGTTAGAAGTTTCCTCAATGAGAACAGGTGGAAAATCTCCCCATGCAATATCTTATCACTACTGCTTCCTTCTCTCCCCTATCATGCTTTACCCTTGTTTAGGACATTGAAAAAAAAAAAAAAAAAAGTGTAGCCTAGTGCATGAGATACCCATTGTGTCTCTGGGAAAGATAGAAATAAGGTTTACTTTGATCCTTAATTTGTTTCATTTGTATTGTGATGCAGGTACCGTTTTGAGGAGATGAGACCGGGAGTAATTACTGTGTGGCCAAAGTTTCGTCAAAATTGATTGTTGACCCCAATAGAAACTTGTTCTTGTTTGATCCATCATTAGGGCTCGATTTTGTATGTACCATTGTTAGGGGCCATATATTATATGTGCATTTAGCAGTAGTGAGATTTGATTCCCGCATATATTGGTCTCGCTGTTGATGTGAAATAAGACATTTGATTTACCTTGGCTTTGGAAATGAATTCAAATGAATTTATTTATTCGAGACATCGTGATTAGTTCATCTTCAATGTTAGTTATTAAACACAAGAACTGATCCTTACAAGTTTAAGCATTGAAGCATTTTGCCGTGGATAATACGGTATGAAAACTTAAAACCATTCTTATACAAGAATTTCCAAGAATGAGTTCTTAACAATAAAAAAATAAATTTAAATAAAATATAAAATAGTGAAGTTTATGTGAAACTCAGTTAAAAATAAATCAATAACTTACGTTAAATACTTCTATAGAGAAAAAAATAGAAAAAGTTCCGTAATTTTAAATGGTATTACGAGACTCGTAAAAAATTACATTAACATTGGATATGCTCTTAAACCATTCAGCATTTGCGGCAGTTATAACTTAATCACAATTTACGGTTGTTGAAGTCGTTCAAACAGAACCACTTTTTCGTTGTTATTTGAAAGAGAATACAGACTCTAGGATTTCATTTCTGGAGATAAGGAAAGACGTGAATTCCCACAAAAATGACTGCTACGAAATTTATTTATTCCAGTGTTTTCATTATGATCAATTTTGTGTCTTTGGTGAACAATGATTTCAGAAATCAGACCAAAAGGGCAGAATCTCTCTCTCTCTCTCTGTTTTCTGAGTTTTATAAATATGATTTTTTTGCTTAAATTTGATCTCTCCTTAAAATAAGAACTCACATTTAATATTGTCATCAATATAATAGGTATAGTTTCTTTTAGATTTTTAGTAGTTATTTCGATTAATGTGACTAGATGATTAATTTAAATGATTAATTAAATACATGTTTGCTTTAATTAATGACAATTTTATTGTTTTTTCAAATGATTATTTTTACAATGGATAGTTTCCAAACATACATTAACATGTAAAAACAAAAGGTTCAATGATCAGAAAAACCAAGTATATTTGTCTCAAACTCAACATTACTTTTATCCTTTTATATTTATTTATTTATAGAAATATTGTCAATAAAAAACAAAGATGTCTTATATTACACTCTAGTTTGGGTGGATTCAGCCACACGGGCCCAAAAAATTAAGTGGGATCAACCGAGCAACATTAGAAGCAGCAAAGAAGGTTCCTTAACATTGTACTTTTCTTTACGAAATTTCGTTCACATTCACCATGACTTTATGGCAATAGGGCTTGTCCCTGTACTAGAAAATAAAACGATTTAAGATACTATATACGCATGAATCTCATTCAAATTCACAACATGTACGCATCATACTTTCACCCTTACAGTTTCTGTGGTGCATTTGGAGTAAACTTCTCCAATTTGTGGTTCAATAGAAGAGGTTATCAAATTGAGCCATTCTGTGATCCTCCAAAGTCCACTTCAACTCACATGGCAAACTTTGGAACTACTCAGAGAACACCAACCACAACACCTTCATCTACAACTGACCCTTATGAACCAAAAGGGCCTCACCAAAAGTTGTATACTGACTTCAAAATATATTGGCCCTTCAACATGCCCTTGACTTCAGAAGCTGCAGCAATTCGTGTGATCAGAAACTTGGAAAATCTTGGCTTATACTACACACTCTTTGTGTGGATCATACTCTTCATAGTCCTCATTCCTCAGCGTAAGGTGTCCTTGATCTTGTTGGTCATCATGACCTATGTGACAGCCCTTTATTGTTTGCTTCTAAGGGCATACCCCAACTCCATGTTGCTTCATAGAAGCATAGATAAAAGGTTTGTGTTGGCTTTGCTAGTTATTGCAACAATAGTGCAGCTGATTTTGACCGAGGCTGGGATTCATCTTGCTGTGACTTTGGCTTGTGCTGTGCCTTTGGTTTTGGTGCATGCAGTTTTATGGGTTAGTCACCATGCCTTTGAGATTGAGGATGATTCTTGTACCAAAGAATTGGCTCCTCTTGTTGGCCATAATAGATGCACATGTTGTGGTGCCAAGGGTTTAGAGAGTGTTTAACGTTTGATTTTCAGTTGTACATAGTCTACTTCATAGTTTTTATTTGCCATTGCAATGGTGGTGGTTTTGAGGATCATTGCAAATTAAAAGGAAAATGTTCATAGTTATTATCTCTCTCTCTATATATATATATATTTATAACTTTTATTTATTTATTTATTTATTTATAAGTCACTGTTTAATTAAGTGAGTTCTGAATCATTTTGTTTTGAAAAAAAAAAGACTCATTTAGTTTAAGAAAATAATTTTTTTTTATCTTCATTTTCTAAAATTAATTTTTATTTTCTTGTTAATTTTCAGAAATGACAACAACAAAAATGTGTTCTATTTTTATTATTTATATTATAATATTTTTAAAATTTATAAAATGTTTTTTTATCAATTTTGAGTAATAAGAATATTCATATTTTTACTACTAATTTATGAATAAAAAAATACATGCTTGATAGAGCATGCAATTTCGAATAAATAAGTGTGTTAGAAAAGGATAATAATCTCACATTTCAATTATTTATATTTTTTTTGAAAAATTTTTTTAAAAAAAGTTATGTGTTTGAGATAATTATAAATAATTTTTTTGAAAATAAACTATTTTTATAAAAATTAATATTTTTTTATTCATCAAAATTATAATGATGTACTATATTTAAATCAAAAACCCATTTTTTCCTTTTTAATTTGATTTCACCATAAATTATTTTTTGTAATTCTATTTAAATAAAATCAAATATCTCAAAATCACCTATCAAAAAATTTATTTAAACAAAATTTTATTTTAATTATAATTAATATTTAAAATAATTTAATTTTTATTATTTTTTCAAACACTATTATGTTTAAGCTCATTATTATATATGATGTATATTATTGGCTTTAATTCTTATAAGTTTTTACAAAATTTCAATGAATTAAAGAAGAGATTGTTTATAAATTATTATATTGATATTTGTTTCTCTTCACTTTAATTGATAAGTAAAATTTTGAACCAAATTAAGTATAGTTAAGTTTTGTCGACTAATTATTAAGTGGGCGTTTAATTTAAATTTTTTTAACATATTATTAACTCTCTATTCAATAATAATTTATTCTTTATCTAGCTACCATTTTACTTATAAAAAATTACTGTATCTATTCTTATTTAATGCTGGACTTTAGATGGAATAGAATAGTAAATTTACCTGGTTAATGCTCCCCAAAGACGCATATATATGACTTAGATACTCTATCTAACAATGGTGTTTGCTTAAGTTTGCTACATTATTAAGTTTCCTTGTATCTAATATTATTTATTCTGATTGTTGACGAATTTCACGATTTTGTCTTAAAAATACATCAATAAATTAAAGGAGAATATTTATTACTTGTCTTTAATCTCCACTTCTATTCTTAAAAAAAAAAAACTCAACTTCTATTTACAAACTAAATGTAATTAATCAAATTTTTGTTGAAAATTAATTATGATAAAATTAGTAAATATTTTGCATCAATAATATTATTACCAAAGATTTTAGTCTTTAAGAGTATTTAGTATGCGAAATATTTTTGCTTTTATGAGAATCCTAAATCGAAAATCTTAATTTCTTATATTTGTTAGTTATTTTAAATAAAAATTCAAGAACGTAGTTTCAATTATTTTTATATCACTTTTTCACAAAAACATTTATATAAGGGGGTGAAAATTTGACTTTTTAATTAGGAAGAAAATTTTATATATATAAAAAAATCACCGTATCTTTTTTTAAAATAAAAAATCTCTCTTTTTATTTCTCTTTTTCTCTTGGTCTTTCTCACCCCCCTTCTCTTCCTCTCCTTCCCCTCCGTCTCTCTCTCTCTTTCTCACTCTTGCTCCCATTCTTCATCTCTCCCCCTCCCTCTCTCTCTTGCACTCTTCCTCTCTCCCTCTCCCTCTCTCTCTCTTCCATATCTCTATTTCTCTATCTCTCTTCTTGTATCTTAGTATTCCTTGATTTTGTTAATTTTAATAATATTATTAAAGTCTGTTTTGTTTCAATAATTTAATGATATTTATTAATATTTTTTTATTGGAATGAAATGAAGTAATATATTTTTATTTTTCTTATTTATAATGTAATATTTTTGTTTGTTTATTTATTTTTGTTGATTCTATATTTAAATAATTTTATTTATAAACTTTCAACTTTTTAAAATAGTTTAATATCATTTTTGTAATAAAATTTGAATAAATAAATATATCTAATGAGATTATTTTAATAAAGAATATTTTTGTAAAAAATATTTATATATCAAAAAATGTATTATTGTAATAAAACACGAAAATCTTTAATTCTTGATAATCATATGTTAATATTCCCAAAAAAATTTATGAGTAATCAGATAGATTTTAATTATTTACAAGAATCATGATTCTTGAGAATTTATAATTCCAAAAAATTATGATTTTTTGGGTATGAAAATTTTTTTTCCTTACCAAACGTCCACTTTATTTAACTATCCTTATTCACACATACACATATATATATATACATACATATATATATATATATAGAGAGAGAGAAAGAGAGAGTATATATATATATATACTTCAATAAATTTTATCTAACAAAAATATGTTAAATGTTTATTACTAGCACTCCTCTAAATACATAATACAAATAAGAGCATTTGAAATTTTTATTTATTTATTTATTATTATTATTATTATTATTACAATTTCAGCTATTTTTAGAAAAAAAATATTTACAAAATAATTTATATATAATATGTTTGGGAATGATTATTTCCAAACATTTCAACTATTTTTTTTGGAAAAATATGTGAAAAAGAAGAAAAAAAACTGTATGTTTGGACAACAACCAAAATATTTAAAAAGTTTTTTATTCTCTAAAAGTTATTGTTATTTATATGAAAATTTGAAACTAGTAACCTTTTCTCGCTAAAGCCAATTTCTTACGCAAAAAATGATTTTTTTTTTTGTATTCAAACAATTTTCTTATTAGTAGACATTATACTATCACAACAAAATTTGATACTAAAATCTTGTATTATTCCAATCATACCACTAAATTGATCCTATTGGTTCTATTAATACGAAATTAAATATCCCATTTTTTTTCAGCAACTTAAATGAAAAAATTGTTTAGATTATAACACAATTATAACAATAATCAATTATATAAATTATACATACAATTAATTATTAAAATAATTTATTTTTCACGGATCTACCAAACATACATGCTCTTGGGATAATAACTGAAATTTGTAAAAAAAACTTCTCTCTCTCCCGCTCTTTTTCTTAATAAGTTGTTTCCATACATTTGAAAATTTAAAGTTGTTCGTCATTTTTATTTATTTTTCTTTTATTTAGTTTTTTTTTTTTAAATTCTAAAATCTTCTATCTAAACACAATTTAAAGCTAGCTAATTTATTAAACAAAAAAAATGTGTTTCTCGGTGGTTCTTCTCCGGCCAAAAAATACAATTTTAATCACCACAAATAACATATTATTTTAGTGTATATAAAATTTATTTATTTTTCTTCTTGTATTTATATTAAAATTTATTTTCAACAAATTTGTTTTAAAAATTTTATTCTGATTATATTTAATAATAGTAATAATTAATTATAAAATCAATTATTAAAATATCTAATTTTATACCAAACAACGAACACATTTTAAATAAAAATTCTGAGTCAATGTGACACCATAAGATTATTATTACCTAACTTTATGAATAATAGATCAGTGTGCACCGCCCCATTAAAGCCTTTGAAAAAAAAGAAAAAGCCTAGGCCAAAGAAGCTTCCAAGTTCTAACACTGAACATTCTGAACTACGAAGTTTCTATGTAATTTTCATCACAACACGAGTTAAATATTCTACACTTTGATCTTGTAGAATTTGCGATCCTATATCATATCATATCATGGATTCTTTCGTTTCAGAACAAGCCAGAGAGAACAAGTTCTGGCCTCCAACAACAAAGCCTGTAAGTTAATTATGCTTATTTGCACCTTCATTGCTTTCACTCAAAGTCCAATTTCATTGATCTTTATACACAAAAATACCCATATACTTTCTATGACTTATGGACTTAGTTGCTATATATGCTTCCCCCTCAAATTGGCTTTAACTGACCTTTTTTATTCTATTTTGCAAATCATGAACCAACAAAGACAAGACAACCAAATCCAATCATACGCAGGAAATTGCGTCGAGGGTCAGGGAGAATTCCGGAGAAACAAATTAAGGTAAAATTTTGTTAATCATTTAAACAAGGCTTAATTGCACTTTTAATCTTCCTAATTTAATATAAGAGTAATTTTAGTCCTCATAATTTGAATTGCTTAATTTTGGTCTATAAATTTAAATAATAAACAATTTATGATACTTGTGATGATAAATTGCGTACTTGTAATCGATGGATTTGGTCAATTTTTATAATACTTGTGATGATAGGGTAAGAGTTGAAACTCACCAATTAATAAAAATATGAAAAATCAAAATTGTTTTGAAGTAAAATGGAAAGTATATAAAACATATTTTTCCATGTTTCTTGTTATCATCATCACCATCACCTCTCTTTTGCGTTTGCATTTACAGTACCCTAGAAATAAGGAGTTTCTGAGAACAATTGCGTACTTGAATGCTGCAGCAGGATATTACGAGGCAAGATCACCAATGTCTTTATATTTTTGGTTTTAGTAGCTTTTGATTTGAATAATTTTGAAGAGGAAAATGAGTGGAGCACACAAAGCGACGACGAAAAGAATCTTAAAATGTCGATTCAAAAAACTAGCGACAATTCTGACAACACACCCACCAAAACACGGAAAAAGAAAAGCAGCTACCTTGACAAGGTTAGTTATCCTCATTAATTTGCCTGCTCGTTTGAAAAAGAAAAAGAAAATGTTATGAATATTGACTTAGCAACTATATAAATTGGATTTACAAACCTATAAATATTGAATATGGAGTTTTATAAGACTTAAATTAAAAGTGTTTCTTTATTTTTTTTAATAAGATTTCATTTAAAATGTTTTTTTTTTGCATTAATTATTGTCATATAACTACAAGAAATATTATATACAGTAACATACAAAAAATGTCTTTATAGATATGATATATGTAAATATAAATCTATTTAACATATATTTATATATGATTTTAGTATTAATGTTAATGAGATTTAATAAGATATAATTATATTTACAATTTTTAATAATATATCAATATATATTATATCTATAATATAAATAAAAATAAATTTTAATAACAAATATTATATTACTATATGATATGTTATTATATGATAATTTTTTTTATAGCGTATGAATTTTTATAAAACTTAAATTAAAATTCTTCCTCTACCTTTTTTTTTATATGATTTAATTAAAATGTTTCTTGCATTATTTTTTTTTTATTGAGAAATGTCTTTTGATTAAAATCATTTTCATAATTCAATAGATAGTTTGAAAAGTTAGAGTCTTATTAATATTAATATTAGGAATAATTTTGAATAAAATATAAATTCAAGACAAACTTAATCCTATCAAATAAATTAACCAACTTTCTGGATCTTAATGTGTAAACCAATTAATTGACGCAAGCGGTAGTTATTGAAATTGCTGAATAAAGAGCATCATATTGAACAATGAGTAAAATACAACTTATATAAGAAAGTAAGGATTGCTAAAACCTAACTAAAAATGAAGAAACTAACTTACTGATACAATAAAAATAGTAAAAAATGGCACATAAAAAATACATAAAATATGTCCCAACAATACTTATTTTTGTGAGGAAGATTTGTTGACAATCCCTGAACTGATTTGACTTACAGACTGAGTGAGTCGATTTAGTACAAGACTGCTGCAACATTGTTAGCAATTGTTGCAACTGTTCATATCCAAACTAAACTCCTCGAGAGGTGATATGGTTCCACCTTGTGATCCTCAAAAAGAATTTTCAATTTCAGATTGTTTTTGCTCTCCCTCTAACTCAACAAAATTGTTGACTGCAAAATTGTTTCTTAAATTGAAACCCGAAGGAAAGCCATGCTTTGAGTAACATTGGTCGACTATGTGACCAAATTTATTACAATATGTATGTGCAATGTTTGCTTGTACAGTTGTTTGTTCTTCCTTTTCCAGCATTTCCATCTGTTCCTCTACCAAAGTTACCATTTCCTCTCGCTTGTGGCTTCCAATTCCCTTGATTACTCTGTTGAATTGAGGAAGTAGAAAAACCTTTTAATCACTAGCTTCAGATCCTTGTAGTTGTCCTTCTAGTTGCAAGACTAAGAAATAAGCCTTGTTGATGGATAGGACAGGATCCATCATCAAAATATTTTGTTTCACATTACCATAAAATTCTCCCAAACCTTTTAAGAAACATATCATCTGTTCAATTTCTTGTTTCTTTTGAATGGATTTAATCAAATCACAAGTACATTTGACTCTACATGAACCATCTGGAGTTTGACTCAACATATCTAACTTATCCCACAAAATCTTTAATTCTGTAAAAAAGTCAATGACACTCATTTCTCCTTACTTGATGGAGTGTCTTTCTTGAAGTAAATATGAAATTATAAAATAATTCCCTTTTGTAAACCTTTCTTTTAATTCATCCCATAGCTTCTTGACATTATCCATATAATTTGGGCTTTGAGCGATCTGAGGGGAAAGAGATCGAGTGATCCAGGAGATAACCATAATGTTGCATCTCTGCCATGCTTTGAAATTTGCATCTTCCTTTTTCGGTATGAGTAATGTACCATAAACAAATTCCAATTTGTTTTTTGACCATAATGCTCTAAACACCTCTGCTCCATGTATAATATTTAGTGGCATTTAGACGAGGAGAAACAAGGACCATTCCTTTTTCTCCAGGGTGGAGGTAGTAGGGACTCGATGCATTATGAGATCTATCTCCTTGAGGGGTTCCCTTGGTGGCTTCTGCATGTGTTTCTTTCTCCGTGACAGTAATCTTGAAGACCCAAGAAAGAGGGACAATCGAGAGAGGAAAAGACAAGAGATCTTGTTCTTGAAAAGAACTAAACGAATTTAGAGAGCGGAAGCCAAGTGGATCTTAAACACGCTCTGATGCCATATTGGAATTTCTGAATAAAGATTACCATATTGAACAATGAGTAAAATACAACTTATATAGGAGTAGCTAAAACCTAACTGACAAAAGAAACTAACTTACTGATACTATAAAAACAATAAAACTAACTTACTGATACAATAGATATAATAAAAACAACACATAAAAAATACACAAAATATGTCTCAATATATAGTAATAGTTTGTGTCTGATCTTATCAAATTATCTAAAATTCAAATCTATAAATTATATTAGAAGAAATATTTACTGTATGAGTTCTTATAGCTTGTTGTAGAAATTAATCAATGTTTCTAGCGATCGATATTTTACAATACTATGGTTAGTTTTTTTTTTAATGAATAAGGTAGGTAAAGTAACAAAGTTGAAAAGCCCATGTTATAGTTCATTTATTTTAAAACTTAGGATCTATTCAAAAACACCCTCAAACTTGGAAAACTTATTATATAATCCTGAATTATCAAGATCGAAACCAATTTTAATGTGGCATTAAAAAAATAGGTAGACATTATGAACACGTGGTGATCAAGTGACAATTTCTCTCGAAACTTATAAAATTAATATTTGAGTGATTCTTTCAAATTTGAACAGGCAAATTACAAGGAATGTGGTATATCTGCCTGCTCATCCCACGTGATAAACATCAAAGACACATGCAAAACTTTAGAACGTGGAGGCCAAGGAATAATTTTAACAAAAAATGTTTCTCACAGAAGTGCTTCCACAAGCGATAGTACATTCATACATTTCTGTTCGAGAGAGATGATTTGTCCACAGGAACATCGTGCTGCATTAGCAGTTAAGTTGTATGGAGTTCAAGTAGCACTGTTATCTGGTTTAGGTAACCCTTTACAGAACCTATCCCAATCCATAAGCCCAGGAAACAGCTCAAAGATACTAACAGTAAGTCTAGGGAAAGCTTCTACTGGTTTCTTACCAGCAATGATATGGACTGGAATGTTCATAGTGAGTTTCGTGTACACAGTGATGGTGGTTTGGTCTTTGGCTTTTAGGGTCCCTATTATCTCAATGCTGTGCATTGCTCTTCTGTACTCTTTATCTGTGATGGTTGCTGCAGCATCGGGGTTTGATGTCATGTTGTGTGGCACGTTTAGAATGAGTGGCGTCTTGTTTGCATCTTTAGGGGTTAGTGGTTTTGTTATGATCCTTCTTGTTCTTGTCATGCTGGTGCTCTTTGCTTCCTGGAGAAGCACAAAACAAAATGGAGGAGCCAAGTGATGAGTGCTTGGTGCTTCGGTATGCAGGGTTATGGAAGCTTTGGGATCAGTAGTTGTTATAGGCTTGTGTATTTGTCGAGGGCATTTGTACCTTTTAACTATAGTAGGTTTTGCATACCATGTTTGACTTTTAATTTTCATGTACACAGGTACGGTTAATTTTAATTAGTGGAAATATTTTTGTTCTTTGAATTAATAGAGAACATTGTGAAATCTTTTAAGGTAACAAATTTATCTAGTATAATACTCTCTACTGGATACTTTATATAAGAAATAAATGTATTTTTTTATCCTAATTATAAAAAAATAAGTACTTACTTTTCTTTTTATATTCTTATGTAAGTTATCGTAGTTGTTAATGGATTAACAATACAAGTTATATTTATCGATAAAAAAATTATATTTTGAATTAGGTGTACTATTATTTAATATTTTTATTATTTAAATTAATCAATATCATTATTTAAACCAACCAATTTAAAAGATATTTTTTTGAATGAAATTTAATTCTGTAATATTATAAATAAAAATCAACCATCATAATTATTTTTTATTGATTTTGATAATTTAATTATTTATTTCTTATATAAAAGATGAAGGGAAATAAATAATTTGTTATAATCCAATATATAGTAAAAGATATTCACATAATTAATAAGTGTTTTTTATTATTTTATTAATTATATA